TTGAAAATGCCTCTTCCAACAGATTGCTGTTAAAAATGTTTCAAGGGAGGCGGGCCAATTGAGGCAGCAAGTCAGTCAACCTAGAGGAAATCCTAAGTAATCAAGACAAGGCCTGGCTGTTCCATTGTTCGCTGGATTTTCCTGTTCTGGATAAATAAAGAAACTCCTAGCTCTTTTGTATTAAATAGGACTGAAACAAAGTTAGAAAATGGTAGGGCTGTGCACAGCCACTGCCACCCTCAATCTGTGCCAACCCAGGGAATACTCAACACGGATCTGGCCCTGAATAAGAATCTAGGAACACAGAGTCCCCTTGGGTCAAGTCAACGGCCCACCTGGTCCAGCGCCCTGCTCTCACCAACTAAATGCCCATGAGAAGCCTGCAAGCAGGACCAAAGCGCGAGAGCATTCTCCCCTTCTGCGATTCTGAGCAACTAACAGGCAGTCACTGCTGCCTCTGACTGTGGAAGCAAAGCATAGCCAGCCATCATGGCTAGCAGCCTCTATGAACTTGTCTGGTGCTCTTTTAAAGCCATCCAGTCCAAGTTGGTGGCCATCACTGTGGGAGCGAGTTCCAGAGCTCAACTATGCATTGTGTAAAGAACAACTTTCTTTTATCCACACCCAGCCTGCATGGGAGGGTCCTGATCCAAAAAGGGAATTCACGCAGATGGAGCTCCCCAGCTACCTTGCTTGCTGGATCAGGGCTAATGTTACCCAAGTCTCTTATGAGGAGCAGCTGCAGAGTTTGGGACTTGGCAGTTTAGAGAAAAGGCAAGTAAGAGGAGACACGACGGAAGTTTATAAAATTATGCCTGGCGTGGAGAAAGTGGATACTGAAGAGTTTTTCTCCTCCTCCTATAATTCTAGAACCTGCGGACACGCAATGATGTTGGAAGATTCAGGACTGATCAAAGAGAGAACTTCTTCATGCAGTGCATAGTTAAACTATGAAACTCACTGCACACCAGGGAGGCAGCAATAGCCACCAACCTGGGCAGCTTTAAAAGAGCACTGGACAAATTCATGGTGGACATGAGGCAGCAATATTTCTGAATACCAGTTGCTGGAAACCCACAGAGGAGAGAGGGCTCTTATACTCAAATCCTGCTTGCGGCTTCCATGCAGACAACTGGTGGACCATTGGCCTGATCCTGTAGGCTACTCCTAGCAGTAGTATTCCCTGCCCCTGCTCATCTGGCTGAGTTTCCCCAGCCACTTTGGGCAGCTTACAGCATATATAAAAGCATAATAAAACATCAAGCATTAAAAACTTCCTGATACAGCGCTGCCTTCAGATGTCTTCTAAAAGTTGTGTAGTTCTTTACCTCCTTGATATCTGGTGGGAGGGCATTTCACAGGGCGGGTGCCACTACCAAGAAGGCCCTCTGCCTGGTTCCCTGTAACCTCACTTCTCGCAGTGAGGGAACTGCTAGAAGGCCCTCGGAGCTGGTCCTCAGTGTCTAGGCTGAACGATGTGGGTGGAGACGCTCCTCCAGGTATCCTGGGCCGAGGCCGTTTAGGGCTTTAAAGGTCAGCACCAACACTTTGAATTGTGCTCAGAAACATACTGGGAGCCAATGTCAGTCTTTCAAGACTGGTGTTATATGGTCCCAGCGGTCGCTCCCAGTCACCAGTCTAGCTGCCACATTCTTGTGTTCTGAAGTCACTCTGTTACGCAGCAACCATATGACACAAACCAACTTTTAGCCCATGTTGCAGTGCAACATTATTTTAGCTTGAAAAACGAAGCAAAAAAGTCAGATGGGCAAAAAGCAACCAGCCCTGAGCTTGCCTTGGCAAACAGGGAAGATTCCTATGACAGTGCCATTCATACTTGCAGGCTAGTTCTGGATTCCAGTCGCCAGTTCTTGCTGTTGGGTCAAGTTAAATCAGAGCGCCCCCCCCCCCCGCTTCTCCCAAGCAAGTAAGAAAGGAACAAAGAGGGTTACCTATCTCTTGCCCACCCAGGGACACTGAGATGTGTCGCCCTTTAATTACAGCTCATCAAGTTATTAAAGAACTAATTGCTCTTTGGGAAACATGACAGGGTATAAAAAAATTTAATTATAGTTATGTAGTATCAAACCCCCCAACTGCATCCACTCAAAACGAGGCAAGACCAAACTCTAAACAGAATTCCATTCTCTTTAATAAACTGGCTAGAACTTCCATGACATGGTCAAAATTACAAGTTGGGGTTAAACTTTTTTTGATGCATGATTGCAAATTGCAAACTGTGCCTCAAGGGAGGGATTAAGATACATTTTTTTAAAATGAAAATTATAAGCAGTTCCTCTCTTGCTTGAATGAGAGGGGTGAGAAGTTCAAATGCTCAATCCACATTTTAGGTGCATCAGGGGATTTTCCAAGTAACGGTATCTGGGTTCAAATCCCCCAGTCAGCAATAAAGCCAGCTGATTAACCTTGGACCAGCCCCCTCCCTGCACATCTGCATGACTAGCCTACCTCACAAGGTTGCTGCGCAAAAAGGGGAGAACTCTGTATACAGTGTTCTGAACACCTTGGAGGAAAGACAACAGCAAAACTCAAACCAAACAGAAAGGAAAGCTGGTCCTCGTGTGGGAGTCCTCATATTTTACTGCCAGTGTCACCTGTGGGCAAAGCCCGGGTACAAGTAAACAAGGTAATTTTACAGACATATCCTGAGGATAATAATAATAATAATAATAATAATAATGTTATTGCTCTGAACAGTATTTAAGACACAAAAGGTATGTGTGTGTGAAGCCTCCCAGTTGCATTTTAGTTGGCATCTTGTTCCCACATGGAGAACAAGCCCTACCATGAGGCAGAGAGGGGCAACTGCTTCAGGTGGCAAGTGGTGGCAGGGCGGCAGAGCCAACCCCCAGTTGTTCCTCCTGAGCTGCCCAGCTTTTCCCCACCTTTCTTCCCAAAAGCTCATACACTGTTCTCCTCCTCCCCATTTTATCCTCACAACAGCCCTGCAAGGAAAATAAGGCTGGGACACCCAAGTGAGCTTCACGGACGAGTGGGAATTCAAACTCTGGCCTCTCCCACTCTAACCACGACATCGCCCTGGCTCTGTGGCCTCCCTGGCCTGTTCTGGAGCCCTTCATCTAGTCTGTTGCATCAGGTGGGCTGGAGAAGGCAACCCCACGCCAGTGTGGACGTAAGTGCCAACTGCCCATCCATGGAATGGAGCTGGAGCATAAGAACATAAGCAACCGGTCTCAAGCAATTGACATTCAGAAGCATTTGTGCCTCCAACAGCGGAGACAGAGCACAGCCATCACGGCTAGTAGCCCTCAGTCGCCATCTCCCCCATCTTTGCCTCAGGCAGCAAAATGTCTAAGGCCAGCCCTGCCAACACAGGCAGCAGAAGAATGCGTGGTGCAATGCACACTTCCACTGGCACCTGAAATTTAATCTTGCTTCTGTCTTTTTTTTTTTTAACCCCTTTTCTAATGGCTAAATCTGCAGCCAAAAGCAAAGACTTGAGCAGCTGCAACGGAACCTGCCCCTCCCCCCCCCGAAAATCTGTCAGGCCCGCTTACTCTCCTTGTCTGTCCATCAGGCGGGTTCTGCTCTTTGGGTGCGCAAGAGACAGCCGAGGCTTTGCTCTGTGGTTTTAACAAGCCCCTCTCTACTCAAAAGCCAGTCTCCTTGGAGCAGAAAGAGCGGTTACAATAAGCCCATTAGCATGCACTGGGGAGATAAGCTGTGTGGTACAATCCTCCCCCAAATCTGTGCATGTACGCAAGAGCTGAAACAGCAGCAGAGTTTTCTACACTAGCCTGCTCTCCAAAGTTCATCACCAAAAAGTAGGTACCACAGTGGAGTTCAGTTGCAAGACTGAAGCTCTTAGGTTTGAGGACACTGCGATCTGAGGAACTGACTTGGTATTGCACAATTCCAAAAAGAGGCAAGGAAAAAAGCAGAGCCTAGACGCTGAGGGCAGCTGGAGTAACTGGCACCCAGGGATACATTTTGTACATTAGTTATGATGGACTACAACTCACACACACACACCAATGAGGATGCTAATCCCACACTGCTCTAATTCTGCCAGTACAGAACTCTTGCCTGATCCTCCCACTGGCCTGGAGGCCAGCAGGAACAAAAGGAAGAAGAGCTCCAAGGCAGCCTGAGTGAGGGGTCGCTCACACTGACAAGGTAGCTTGGAGCCAGAAATTTTCTAGAACCAGATGGAGTCCAACGGGTCCGTTGCATCCAGTGTTAGAAATTAGCCAGGTGCCAGGCACATTTTGCGACTGGTGCGGGTCCAATTGCAACAACATAGAGATCTCTGGATGCCAGGTTGCCAACTGACATCTCCGTCTGGCTGGCCCCTCCAGCTTTCTTAAGCAGGTAAGGAGAAGAGCTTATTTATTGCATTTATATCCCACCCTTTTCTCCAAGGGGTATATGGTTCACCCCCTCCTCAGTTAATCCCTACAACAGGCTTCCTCAACCTCAGCCCTCCAGATGTTTTGAGACCACAATTCCCAGCATCCCTGATCACTGGTTGTCCTAGCTAGGGATCATGGGAGTTGTAGGCCAAAAACATCTGGAGGGCCAAGGTTGAGGAAGCCTGCCCTACAACAACCCTGTGAGGTGGGTTAAGAGGCTGTGACTGGCCCAAGGTCACCCAGTGAGCTTCATGACTCATTGGGGATTTGAACCCTGATCTGCCAGGTCTAACCACACTGGCTTTCTAGAGTAGTTCTGTCATGGGGCAGCTATAGAAATTAAGTAAATAAATAAATATGGAGAAAGCAAAATGTCAATTAGAGAAGGATCTGAAATATTTTCCTGGAAGCTTGAAATTGTTTTATTTGGATTGTTTCATTTGATGTTTTAATGTGTTGTAAAATACCTTGAGATTTTTCCCTTTAAAATATAAAGTGGTACAGAAATGAGATGATGATGATGATGAACCATACCCCATTGGAGGTAGAAATGGCACCTATACATACGATGGCGGTGACTGTAACCTAGGTTTAAGGTGCCATTTGGCAATAGCTCAGCTGGTTAGAGCATGGTGCTGATAACAGCAAGGTCACAGGTTCGATCCCCATATCGGACAGCTGCATGTTCCTGCACTGCAGTGGGTTGGACTAAATGATCCTCAGGGTCCCTTCGAACTCTATGATTAGCTTATAAATCTGAATTTATAACACTGCTTGTATCACCTGATCCCTTCTGAGTTGGCAGCTGCATTAGCCGCCCTCTGACATCTGCAGCAGGGGCGCAATGGTTCTCTGCCCCAGCAAGCCTAGAATTTTGGCACGCAAGGCAAGGTGCTTGGGCCCAGATGTGAGTCACTGTGTAGAGAATCACATCAGAAGGAAAGCAAACCATGCAAATCACACATTGTATAGCTATTTGCTCTGTAAAAGATATCCCAGAATCTCTGTAATATCCAAGAATGGGGGCAATGTGGTGGATTACATCTTTGTGTCACATGCTATTTACTAAAAAAATCAACTATTTTATGTGGAAGGCAGGAGCACCTTTCACTGGTGGCCCAGACAGGCTACCCAAAGAGCAACAAAGACCCCATGACCACCCTCTCAATGCAGGAAGCGCACATAAGACGGACAACAACAGAGGCAGCTGAAATAAAACAAATCTCGGGGAATCAGTCTATGATGAAATCAAGAGAAGTAATAACAGACAGGTGATGAACAAACTACAAAATCTATGCCAGAAAACTTTAGAAAGGACTTGGAATATCTGTGAGTTATATCAAGAGATATCCAGGGAACTCAGACCATTTCTGATTCCTACCTCCCATCCTAAAACTCCTGCCAAGTACATGGAGCTGGTTTGATAGGGACTGTAAACTTAAAAGCCACTGAGTTATATCTAGTTCCCCATCACATTTGCAGGTACTAATTTGCAAAACGTGTGTGTGTGTGTGTGTGTGTGTGTGTGTGTGAAGTAGAGAGAGGTGGGTTGCACACTGATGTGTGAATGAATAAATTGCTTTTTCTTTTCTTTTTGCGTGTGTGTGTGTTCCAAACTAATGTTAGGGTGAGGAGGTGACTCCAGATCCTCAGAGCTGAGTGGAAGGTTTTCATGGGGCTGTACATGAACAGCTTTGTCTGCTCTTGGACCTGTCTTACACCAAGCCAGGCTCTTTGGCCTCTATCTCAGTCTTGGTTGCACTGACTGGCATCAGCTTTCCGGGGTCTTGCCTAGGAGGACGGAATCTGAGACCCCTCGGCATGCAAATCTCATGCTCTTCCACAAAGCAGGGCCTCCCCCGCCCCCGCTTCTCTTGAGAATGAAAATTCCTCTGCATAAAATGTCACACACATACAAGAGTTGCAGCAAACTGGATTTTGCTGACATTCATTTGCAAACAAGCATATGCTTTGTTCCTCAAATCCATGTTACAAGATTTCCATCCCAGGAGGCCAACTCCATGGGCAGCTTCCACAAGATTGCACCACAGATTATTTCCTTGCCTTAATTTGCCTCCTACAAGTCGCTGCGACTGTCCCAAGTGCCCAGGAGCAGTTCCTGTTTCCTCAGGACTGTCCCTGTAGGGCAAGCAAGAGAGAGTCCTCTTTGAGGACCGGAACATTTGCAGGGAAACCAAAATGTTTGTTTACAAAGCTACTGTACTGCCAACCTTACTATATGCTTGTGAAACATGCACCACTTATAAATGCCATCTCCAGCTCCTTGAAAAATTCCATCAACGGTGTCTCCAAAAAATTTTACACATCACTTGGAAAGAACTAATATCAGTGTACTGGAAGAAGCAAAGATGACCAGTGTTGAAGCAATGATTCTTCAACATCAACTTCATTGGACTGGTCATGTTGTGCAGATGCCTAATGATTGTCTTCCAAAGCAACTACTCTATTCCGAACTTAAAAATGGAAAGCGTAATGCTGGTGGTCAACAAAAGAGGTTTAAAGACGGTCTCAAGGCAAATCTTAAAAAATGTAGTATAAACACTGACAACTGGAAAACACTGGCCTGCGAGCGCTCCAGTTGGAGAACAGCCTTTACCAAAGGCTTTGAAGACACTTGAACTCAGGACGCAAGGGAGAAACGCGCTAAGAGGAAGGCATGCTTGGCAAATCCACACCGTGATCAACTCCCACCCGGAAACCAATGTCCCCACTGTGGAAGGACGTGTGGATCCAGAATTGGCCTCCACAGTCACTTACTGTTAAAACCATGTTTATGGAAGACAATCTTACTCAGCTACGAGTGATAGCCAAAGAAGAAGAAGTATGGCCCTCCAGATGCTGCTGCTGGTGAGCTCATCCTCCCATCTGCCCCAGCCACCAGGTGATGGTCAGCAACATTCGCTAACCTGGTGCACTCCAGATGTTTGGCACCACAGCTCCCATCGCTCTAGTCAGCACATCTGGGGGCACCAAATTCAAAAACTATGCTCCCAATTTTGCAGGGCTACAACACCCATCACCCCATCAGCCACACTGGCTGGGACTGATGGGAGTCCAACAACATCTGGAGGACCTCAGCTTCACCATCCCTGGTTTAATTAGTCCTGATAAATACACAAAAGCAGCTCATTCAGAGTCACAGCAGGGAGCCTCTACTTTCTTCACTCCCCAGAAGTCTTAGTCTAGGGATGGGGCATTGTTTAGGGGGGTTTGTTGGGGAAGATGTTGCTGTTGAATTTTTGTATCTTGGAACTTGTGATTTGTGTGGAGGTTGCTCAATTTGGTTGTATATTTTTTCATGTTTTGTTTGTGACTAGTTTTGTGGTGTTTGTAGTTATTTAAATTCTTGTATGTTGTAAGTAGCCTTGAGCATTGTTTTAACTTTGGAAATGAAATGATTGATGATTGATTGGGGCAGGGAAATCTGTGCCCCCCCCAATGTTGCTGGACTACAACCTCCATCTTCCCTGACCATTGGTCGTGTTTGCTGAGGCTGATGGAGGAGTAGAAGAGGGAGAGTGAAACAAGCACATCTATCAGCGTTCATTTTTAAGATATGAGAAGTTAAGAGGGAAAGCAGAAACAAGAATGGGAACCAGTTTATTGCTAGGTGCCACATTGGGTTAATCAAGAGAGGCAAGAAATGGATTTTGCAGCTATCCTGGGAAGCTGGTGGCAGGAGGAGGCACCCCGAACAGCACTGTGCAAGTGCATGGTTGCAGACTGGCTAATCACCTACACTGATCAACATCTGGCACCAGCAGCTGCATCAGCTAACCCACAGTGGGGAACCTTTTCCAGACCAGGGGTCACATTCCCATCTGGGCAGCATGCCAGTGAGGGGCAGGGAGAGGCAAAAGTGGCTGAAGGTGCGAATTTTACCTTTGTACAGTAGACAAGTTTCTATACACACTGATGCTTTTCTATCCTCCATCTAGGCAGGCCAAAAACATTTAGGAACTCAGCTCTTGCATGGTTCAGACTGTGGCACCCCTTGTCCCCAGCATGATCACTTCATCAAGTTGGTTACTGATAACAGCACAAATTCACATTGTTTTGAATGCCTTGCATCAGCAGCTCGTGGTTCCTACCACTGAACCACTTCACTGGCCATCACTGATAAGAAATATTCCAAAATAGTGGAAGAAAGAGTGAGAGGTAGCACTGAAGATTACCGGCATAGATTTAGTGTTGGAGATCAAATGAATGTCTGATGGAAAGAAGAGCTAGAGTACAAACAGCCCTGAGGTTGTAAGCCACGGGTTTCTCACCCCTTCCAGAGGATCATAGAATCATAGAATCATAGAGTTGGAAGAGACCACAAGGGCCATCGAGTCCAACCCCCTGCCAAGCAGGAAACACCATCAGAGCACTCCTGACATATGGTTGTCAAGCCTCTGCTTAAAGACCTCCAAAGAAGGAGACTCCACCACACTCCTTGGCAGCAAATTCCACTGTCGAACAGCTCTTACTGTCAGGAAGTTCTTCCTAATGTTTAGGTGGAATCTTCTTTCTTGTAGTTTGGATCCATTGCTCCGTGTCCGCTTCTCTGGAGCAGCAGAAAACAACCTTTCTCCCTCCTCTATGTGACATCCTTTTATATATTTGAACATGGCTATCATATCACCCCTTAACCTCCTCTTCTCCAGGCTAAACATGCCCAGCTCCCTTAGCCGTTTCCAGGCCTTTGACCATTTTGGTTGCCCTCCTCTGGACACGTTCCAGTTTGTCAATGTCCTTCTTGAACTGTGGTGCCCAGAACTGGACACAGGATACGCCTCCCCAATTTTTGCCAGTGTGCTCCTCAATGGGCACTTGCATTACTCCTGCTCAAGCCATTTCTCCCCTTAAATTAAAAACCCCTGAAATGCTACTTGACATGGCTGTGCATGTGTGTGAAAGTTGTAGGAACAGAGACTGAAAATACCTGGGCCTCACTCCCTTCCACCCTCTCGGCCTCTCCATGGCAGTCAATATACGGTGTGCTGTAGCCCTTCTATTAAAAGAACCAGATCCATCACAAGATTAAAAGTTCTGCTTGCTTATTTGCAATGGGAAGTTGTTCTGGTCATAGGACTCACACATCAGTGCATGGCAAAACAAATGAAATGCATCACACGCCAACAGGAGCCATGAGGGTGGCAGGGCACCTGGGCAGATCTTGCTGGGTGTGAGGACAGGCATGCTCTGGTCTGGTAATGTCAAGTGGCATGGCCAGGCAGGATATAAATGCATTTGGGACAGGCAGATCTGTCAATTCCAGTTTATCTCAGTAACTCCTGTTTCCAAGAAAGTTCAGGTCACCACGTTTCCACATCAGTTTGAATTGTAGAGTTGGAAGGGACCCCAAGGGTCATCCGGTCCAAACCGCTACAATGCACGAAACACAGCTGAAGAATCCATGAGAGACGGCCGTCCAACTTCTGTTTAAAAACCAGCACCCTCCAAGGCAGTATGTCCCACTGTCAAACAACCCTTACCATCAGAAAGAGCTCCCTAGTGTTTAGTCAGAATCTCCTTTCTTGTCATTAGAATCCATTAGTTTGAATCCTTTCCTCTGGAGCAACAGGAAACAAGCTTGCTCTGTCTTCCATGTGACAGCTGTGATAGGAATTTTATGGTCTTAGATATATGGCAATGTTCATAACCGCACATACATAGA